CTTACAAGTTACAAGAATAAAAGGTTTAGGGGGTTGCGTGCAAAACTCCTCAAAATTCAAGGTGTTTGTGGAATGAAAACAGTTAAAGTGGTTATCTGCAAAACCTCCAAAGGTTTTCTGGATGAATTTCATATTAGTGCTCATTATTTGCTTATTAATCCCTTAAATCTTCAGTTTTCTTGCTATATGGTCTTTCTGTTAAAAAAACTGTTAACTTCTCTAAATTTAGTTGAGTTAATACTTAACCTAATAACTCAAGTTACTTTATTGCCCCTGGAGTATACATTTCCCTCCCAAGTTTTGGATTTAGAGAGAAGTTAGCTATGAGAATGACCTCAATTTTGGGTTTGGCTGAAGCAAGGGACCATTGGAGAAGAAAGAAAGTAGGTTTGAGTTAGTTTAGGTGGGGGTATAAAGGGTATTCTACCTAATTCCATCACATTTCATAGTCATTAATAACACCACCTAACATGATGGATAGATTGGGAAGAAAACTGAACATTTAAGGACTAATAAGCAAATAATAAGATTTGAGGGACTATTTGCTAATTAAAGATGATTTAAGGGACCAATATACAATTAACCCTAGTTTTTTCCTTAAATTAACTCCTCTATAAGGGCGTGTTCGGCAATCGAAAGTAAATGAAAAATGCACCGAAAAATGAAAAGTGGCTCCACTTTTCATTTTTATCATGTTTGGAATTAGACAAATGAATGAAAAGTGATTTGAAAGTGAAGGAATGACACATTAGCACTTTAGCACATTTTACTTTCTCAAAAATTGGAGAAAGCCGATGAAAAGTGAAGAGAGAGGAGAGAGGAAAAAAATTAGATTTTTTATGTATCATTTTAGTTATATTTGTCCAATTTCTACCATTACTTTTCATGATAACTAAACAAAATAAAAAAAAAGTAAGTGTCACATCATTTACCACCTCAACTTTCTCTATTTTTACTCTCTAACACCCAAATAAGTCATTATAAAATAGAAAGTAATTAGCAAGTATCTTCGCGAGAAAGAACTTTCTCTTTTTTTCATGTTCTATTTATTTTCCGCTTGCCAAACATGCCCTAAATTTCTGTAAAAAGATAGAAAGTTGTCTTCTTTCCTTTAAGTCCTTTCCAAAATCCTTTTCAGATTTTGATCAAACTGCTGAATCGAAGTCACTATTTGATACGGATTTCTGCTTCAGTTATGATGGATTCTTCAAAGTTGCCTCCTTTTTATACTTCCAATTACTGAATCCACTATTTCAACGTCGAGGTAAATAGAAATCTGAGGAGCCTCTAAACTTTTTTATTATTATTGTAATGCATGTATAAGGTTAATGCATAACGTTTTTTTATTACAGTAGTTTTCCTCAAAATATTTGCGTAGTTTATCCCTACCTTGCTTTCTTATCTTTGTTCCATTACAATTTCTTTTATTTGTTCTCTCATTTTGGGTAATCTTGTTCTTTAGTAGTGATTTGGGTTTGATTGCTATATTCAGTTTACACGCTCGCAGAAAATTACATACATAAGAAAGCATGCATATTTGATGAAATCACATCATAGGCTTCATGCTTAACTGAATTTTTTCTGCTGTAAGCTTTGTTATTTACTATGATGGGAATTTTGGAAATAAATAAATCACTAATGCATAGCCTTGGCGGATTCTCATTCGTGTGCTTAGTATGGAAATTCAGGTGACTGTGTATTGATTTTTGTTACTTATAAGACCGATTTAATTCAGTATGGTTGGCACTCTTACAATGTATGGAGTAATGATTTCAAGATGAGAAAAATTAAAAAAGAAAAAAGAAAAGTATATTGATGTCTCAAGCTATAGGAGTGTATTGAGGGAAATGTAGCTTTCATCTGCATAGATATGCTTAAGGTTAGTCGTTGCATTGATTTGGCACACAACACTTTAAAGATTTCACTATAGTCTATTTTCGTAAACACTATAGTAATTAGCATTGATTTGGTATGCAACACTTTAGGAGTTCAAATATTTTCTAGAATTGTTAATGATATCTAATTCGAAAGATGTGTTCACAAGAATATAATTCATTTTAGACCACCATCTCATCATAAGGGGGCAGTGGCAAAAATGTCTATCTTTTATGATCTTCTCTGTTTTCTCGTCTTGTAGAAAGGGCAAAAATAGAAATGGAGGTTAGTAATCATCTTATAGAAAGGAAAGGAAGCAGGAGGTTACTAAAAAAAGAGGAAGATGATGATGATAATGGTGATGATGAATGCTCTAATAAAAGGAAGACCGGTATCCTATTTCAAACTCATCTTCGTACGTATTTCTCTTCTATATTGTTAATTATATGCTGATTGTATCGCTAACTTATACCTGTTCACCTGTTTTATATGTCAGTGCACAAATGGATATGTAACATGTTCTTTGTCTCTTGAATGGGTAACTCGGCCCTCAGCATTAGTTGCCTCATACCTGTTCACTTTTTATTTGTTATATTAATCTATATTCTGTATGTTTTGCATAAAAGACACAGTAGGATAGCTGGCTTATTTGCTTATAAAAATTGATGTAATTTAGTTTTTTTTAAACACAAAGACGTGTTAGGATACCTAAACTACTAAAAATAAGTTTGGTCTACAACGTCACATTGTCTTTTACCTAGATTGGACGGTGGAAACTTGTAACATCTTGTTTTCAACTGAATTTTTTTCTGAAGATGTTCGATTTGAGACCCGTACCAATATGACTAAGTGAAATTCCTCTGAGATATAACGACAACAAGGGGTGAATCCACTTTTGTTTGACTAATCGCCTTTCTAATAGAACCAAAATCTAACAAAATTATAATCCTACAAGAGGGTTCCATTGAGCTGACGCAAAGTGTACGTAGTTCTCGAAATTCACAACAAAAGATAATTAAACCAAATAACATAAATATGTAGTTAGAGCAAGTCCAGCAAGCTCCGAACTATGCTCTGAAGGCTGATGTGGCGATGGTTCTTGCCAAACCCCCCTCCAGCAAGCTCTGAAGCCGCTCCCAACTAGGCTCTCCGTTCCTACGTGGATGTCGAATCCTTCAGAGCTCCCAAACGCTCCACAAATTTGTGGAGCGCTTGGGAGCTCCCAACTGGGGTGACATTTTACAAAACCCCCCCCACAAGAAAATCATACCAAATCAGGAACCAGTCGGAGGTCGTGGTCGTCGTGGCTGACTGTCGAAGGGGTTGGGGTTGGGGTCGTCGTGGCTGACTGTCGAAGAGGATTTGGGGTTTGGGACCAGACCTTGATGTCGTCGGAGCCGAAGAGGAACGCGAGGCGAAGAGGAGGTCGTGGTTGTCGTGGCTGACTGTCGAAGGGGTGGCTGGCGAAGAGGCCTCCGACTGTCGAAGGGGTGGCTGGGGTGCCTCCGACTGTCGAAGGGGTGGGGTTGGTCTCCGACCGTTTGAGGTTGTCCAAGGGGTGGGATTTGGGTATCGGATTTGGGGGAGAAGATGAAGAGTTCTTTGTTTTTTTTTATCTGGGTGCGCTGTTTGAGGTTGGGATTTGGGAGAAGATGTAGTGTTTTTTTTTTTTGGGTGCGTTGTTTGAGGTTGGGATTTGGTGTTTTGATTTGGGATTTTTGAGGTTGTCCAAGGGGTGGGATTTGGGTATCGGATTTGGGGGAGAAGATGAAGAGTTCTTTGTTTTTTTTTATCTGGGTGCGCTGTTTGAGGTTGGGATTTGGGAGAAGATGTAGTGTTTTTTTTTGGGTGCGTTGTTTGAGGTTGGGATTTGGTGTTTTGATTTGGGATTTTTTTTTAATTGCCTGAGTTGTGAATTTTACCGTTGTGATTTTTACCTCTTGAGTTGGAAATTTTATCGTTGTATGAAACACGGACACAAGCTCCTCTCCAGAATTCAGCCGTTAAAAATGAAGCCGTTGAAAAAGTTACCGTTGTAAAAAATCTTCTATAAATTCGTTTTACTTCAATACACAAATCATTCCACACAACTCTCTCATAAAAAAAAATCTATATTTCCCTATCAAATTACAAATCTTATGGATCCGTCACAAAACTATTATTCGCACCTCCTTGCCGGTGAAGGATAGACCTTATACCCACCGTTCTATACAGAAGTCGTAGAAGAAGGTAACCCCATCGAGTTATCGCAATCTGCAACACAACAAGTGTCATCCCAAGAAACACCGACCACAAAGAAGAAGAAGGCTTACACGCGGTCCGAAAATTGGACTGTCCACGAGGATAAGCTTCTTGTGTCTGCTTGGCTGAACACGAGCCAAGACGCCATCCAAGGTACGGGGCAACACAAAGATAAGTTTTGGCACCGAGCTAACGACTATTTTATCCTATACTCCACCGATCCAACGAGCCGCACGCCAAACCAAATGATGCATCGTTGGTCAACGATTCAATTGTCCGTCAACAAATTTTGTGGGTGCGTTGCTCAGATTGAAGGAAGACAAAGATCTGGTACGGGAATTATTGACCAGGTAAATATTTAATTATGTTTGATTATTTTTGCTCAGATTCAATATGTTTAATTATGTTTGATTATTCTAAAATTAACTCTTGTGTAGACTGCAGAAGTAAAAGAATTATACCAATCTCTTTATGGTAAACCATTCGTGTTTGACCATTGCTGGGTTGAGTTGCGTCATCATCAAAAGTGGATCCAACAAATGGAATCTTACAATAAGATTCGATCACAGCCGAGAAGAATCGCTACCTCTGATTCCTCACCAAACAATTCCATGCCAGCGACCCCCATCGAGTTGAACACTGACTCGGAAGATGTTATAGCAAGGCCTGAAGGGAGGAAAGCGGCAAAGCTCAAGAGGAAACAAAATGTGGAAAGCTCTGGATCCGCTACGTCCATCATGGGAGAGGCTTTCGCGTGGATGAAGCAAACCACCAATCAAAAAATAGAGCTAAAACAGAAGAAACAAGATGACGATATCATGAAGATGGATCTCTCAACACTCAATTCAGTTCAACGACAATACTTTGAAATGAGTCAGGCAGAGATATTGGAGAGGTGGATGTCTAAGGGTTCTGCCTAATTATCATATATTATCTTGTATTAGATTATGATTGTACTCGCATCGCATCCTAATTAGCTCTTCCTAATTATCTTGTATTAGATTTATGATTGTACTCGCATCGCATCCTAATTAGCTCTTCCTAATTATCTTGTATTAGATTTATGATTCTACTTGAAGTTGAAAAATTTGGCATTTAATGAAAACAACTACTTCATTGAAAAGAAAATTGGCGTAGTACAACAACTCGAACTTCTTTGCTGAAATTACATTAGACATAAAGAAACTTAATCCTCGTCGATGGATCCCTTGAGCTGCCACAGATGCTCGATCAAATCATTCTTTAGTGATTTGTGTGTTTGCGTGTTCCTGATTCGATGATGATTTTGGATGAACTCAGTTAGAGGCACCGTCTGCACATGAGAAGGTTCAACGACTGGTATCGAATCATTAAAGTCGAAGTTGTTGTCCAATTGACAATCTCGTTCATCTTCAACGATCATGTTATGCATTATGATGCAAGCTGTCATGATGTCTTTCAGCACACTAGGTTGCCAGAAACGTCCTGGTCCACGAACAATCGCAAATCGAGCTTGCAACACGCCAAAAGCTCGCTCAACATCTTTTCTTGCGCTCTCTTGTTGTTGAGCAAAGTATTTATGCTTGTTTCCTCGCGGTGCTGGAATAGTCTTCACTAATGTGGACCACTCTGGGTAAATCCCGTCGGCGAGATAGTATCCCATAGTGTACTCGTGGCCATTAATAGTATAGTTGCACGGTGATGCTCTTCCCTCCGCAAGTTGTGCGAAAACCGGAGAACGATGTAGCACGTTGAGGTCATTGTGAGACCCCGACAGTCCAAAGAAGGCATGCCATATCCAAAGATCTTTGCTAGCTACGGCCTCCAAAATAATTGTAGGTTCATGAAAATGCCCAGTATACATACCTTGCCAGGCGGTTGGACAGTTCTTCCATACCCAGTGCATGCAGTCAATGCTCCCAAGCATACCAGGAAAACCTCGTTGTGAACCCTCCTCGAGCAGGCGTGCAACATCTTCATTAGTCAGTGAACGAAGGTATTCCTCCCCAAAGATGTTGATAATCGATCGAACGAACCTCTTCACGCTCTCAAGCGACGTACTTTTACCGATCCGAACGTAGTCGTCAACGGCGTCAGCGGATGCTCCATATGCGAGCATCCGCATAGCTGCAGTAATCTTTTGAAGGCTAGATAGTCCTAACTGTCCAGCACCATTCCTCTTTTGGACGAAGTACTTGTCATGTTCGACGACAGCGTCGTGGATTCGAAGGAATAACGAACGCGACATTCTGAATCTTCGACGAAAATAATGAAGAGGATATGTTGGTGTGTCAGCAAAATAATCTTGGAACAACCGATTGTGGCCTTCCAGTCGGTATCGATGGAGCACGGTACGTCTTTTGTGTTGAACTGAAGTTGAACCTTTCCCTTGTTCTTCTTCCTCGACGACAGCAGCTCCCATAAAAAAGAACGTCTTCATCGTTTCATCATCGCTTGAGCTAGATGAGCTAGACATTTTGTTCTGGGAGACGATGGGTTGAGGTGAGAAGGCATCGAATTTTATAGGAATCAGTCGGTTGACGGTCAAAGTTTTCGATACCTCGAAGTTCGTGCCCAACCTCGAAGACCGCGAGCTACCTCGAAGACCGTGTGCGTTCCCTCGAAGACCGCGAGTTACCTCGAAGACCGTGTGCGTTACCTCGAAGACCGTGTGCGTACCCTCGAAAGCCGCGGGTTAGCTCGAAGACCGTGTGCGCTCCCTCGAAGACCGTATCCAACGGTTAGAAATAAAATACAAGAGGTTTAAATATAATTAAAAGTAATGGGTAAAATATCAAAATAGAAGAGGGGTTTTTTTGATATTGTTGGAGCTCCTAACTAGGAGCTTGTTGGAGCTCCATAAAATAAGGAGATGCTCCCAAGGCCTATTTTTATAATTTTTTATACCAAAATGCTTGAGAGCTCTTGAGAGCTTGATGACTAGGACTCCTAACTGGGAGCTTGCTGGACTTGCTCTTAGTCCACACATTATTGCCTTCTTTTAGGGACAACCATCAATATTAGGGAGATATTTTCTGAGGAAGTATCCGAATTGGTTTTTTGCACTCCTTAGTTAAAAGGAAAAGAAGAAAAAAAAATGATTTGCTTCAAAAGGGCATAACTGCAATGCAGGCACCCGTAAATTTGATGATGGCTCTCAAGTGCTCCCTACATAATGAAGTAGAAGCAAGACCAGTGATGCCCATCTCATAATTGATCTTGCCGATCTTTCATAATAAGGTAGGGGGATGGTAAGGAAAGAATTCTTGAGAAAGAGAGAGAGAGAGAGAGAGAACTTTGATTTGATAAACCTAACCCTAACCTAATTCTTTCATAACTTTGAATGAAAAAGATAAGATCACGTGCTTCAACTAACCTTAATTATCAAAATAATTACTAACTAATACACCCTAGCTCAGCGATTCGTTAGTTTTTCTGGTCGGCGTTCGACTGTTGGGCCTATTTGACCGTCGGAGACAAGAACAAATATACCAAAATGATGCCGGAGTAACAAAAAAATATCGAAGTGGTAATGCGGGTCAAGAAAAAGAAGCCCAATACGGTAGCCCATACCAAAATCTAATTTGTTTTCATTGAACTTTGATTACTTAGGTTTGACCGAAGACTAATAGAGTATTTGTATATTTTACCTTGGTAAGTACTTATTTATGGTGGTGGAGTTCTTGGTTGACATACTTGTGCATAATTTTTGGTGTTTATCCCATATTTCTGATTGAAACATATTGGTAACTAAACAAAAACTGTGTAAGTTGACAACGTTTTGTTTTAGAAAAAAAAAAACATGTGTTTAATTACTTTATTCTAGAATGCAAATTATAACCTGGTTTCTCCATTCCTCGATTTTGGATGCGGTTATACAGTTCAATCTAGCCTGAACCAGACGTGTGAGGACTATGACAGATATCACATCTCCCTATCTTCCCTAAAAATAGTATTCAAACTAACTTTCTCTTCTCTGACTTTATTTTCATCATTGTCATTGTTGTTTCCAGTTGGCGCCATTGCTTTGTAGCCAAAATGTTGCCTCCTTTCCATAGACACTACAACTTAATTAGGAGCATAGATGAAACTAAAATTATAAGCAGTGCAAAGACCATGTGGGTTGAGGTTGTCATTTTTTATGAGTGTGTTGGTATAGGATAGAATGCTTATGCCTGAGCTTTTATACCCTTTATATACGCAAGTGTAGCACCTTCTATTTTTTTTTTCTTTTCCATTAATAATCTAAGAGATGAAAAAATTATTTAATGATATTTTCAAATATACCCGTAAATATCTTAAGCTTGCGTTAACATGACACTCATTGTTACCTAATTTATTATATATTAGATCTCTGTCGCCTATTAACTACATCTATAATGCCTTTTTCTTAGGTCACTAGCATCTTATTTAATTTTTTGAGTTATTAAATTACAAAGGCATTGTAAGTTTAATAAATGTATTATAAACTTCTAAACCTTTATTTCCTAGATCATTATTATTTCCAAAATTTTAATAATTTACAAAGTCATTATTGTAGGCGTCTAAAAATGCCTATAGGTGTCCGTACACAGCTCGAGACGAAGAGAAGACAACGAATGTCGTTATCCAAGTCTAAGAGGATTATCTGTCGTCGACAAGCGCATGAAACGAATCGGCGAACCGTTGATGACACGACAACGAACTACCACAACGGCAAACGCCAAGTAGCTCGCTTGCGCCAATCAACTCGTGCGCCTTAATCAACACGCGCACGTCGATCAGCTCGCGGGTCAATCAGCTCGCGTGAGTCGGTCAACACGCGCGCGTCAATCAACTCGCGCACGCCAACATACGCACGTGCATTAATCAACACGTGCGCGTCAATCAACTCGCGCACGCCAACATACGCACGCGCATTAATCAACGCGCGCCCAACAATCAACTCGCGCATGTCGGTCAAATCGTGTGTGTTAGACCCTAAAGGGGGGTGATTAGGGTCTTATGCTAATCTAATCCGATTAAATGCCAATTAAAATTAATTAACAGGTTATCCTAGCAAGTATGAAATACAACAAGAATATAAGCTAGGATAAGCAATATGAACAATGAGATATATCCTATATGATAAAAATATAAGCAATGATATATAAACAATAAGATATATCCTAACAAAGAGATATAGACAATGTATGTGCAAGGATATAAAACTAACACAAGAGTAAACAATATGAAACAAGATAGAGGATGATATGAATAATGAGACAATGACGATATGAGCAATGAGCACAAATATAAATAAATGCCAAAGCACACTCAAACACACTATATGATCACGGAGTTCGGACCTTCCGTCCTACGTCTCCGCTCCCCACTCCCGGGGAGAAATCCACTATCACAACCGGGTTTTCTACGCTCACCCGAATAACGTTTACACCTCACAGTGTCGGTTTTTAACGCTCACCGAATAACGTTCACTCCTCACACTCGGTTTTCTAGTTCACCGAAAACTTCACAACACACTCGGTTTTCTAGCTCACCGAAAACCTTACACCACTCACAATGTAACAAATATAAATTTGTTCTCTACAATAGATGAGAACACAATTAAGCACAACTCAATGTTACAATCTCTCACAATCCTAATATAGTATGTATGCAAATATAATAAGCTCAAGTGGGTGTGTGTAACAATGAGATAATATAATCAAATCTAAACTCTATATAAAAAACTAGCTTTAAAGAATGATAATCAAATAACTAAGCAAATGTAAAGCTAGATAGAGTTTAGAAAACTTCTCCAATAGATGACAAGATGGAGAGATGGAGATTAGAGCCCAAACAAGAAGATAATCTCCTCCACTTGTGAAAACAATCTTCAAACCAAACAAACACTAAAACACACTTAAACCCTTGTTTAAAACTCTTTAAACTTGTTTAAAATATTTCTTGAGTACCCTTAGAAGTATGAGGGCATGGAGTATATATAGGCTCATGAAACAAACCCAAAAAAACCAAGCAAAAAGACAAAAAAAAACGGATATATCAAAATCTAGAAAATACAGCCGTTATGCTACAGTAACCACGTCCAGTGACATTTCCGGTCTACCGGAGTAACTGTAGCAGTGCGCAGATGTTTTGTAAAATCAATTTAAAATAGTAAATGAACTCCAAAAATTATTAAATTTTGTGGAAATGTTCTAGAAATGTAGAATAACATGTAAGAGAAAGTATTTCTGAAAAATCTTTTCCCGGTTGAGAGAAATAAATATTTGAATACAAATTTACAATTTCTGAAAAACTGTTAACATATACGATTTTGTAAAATCAATTTGGCACAGTAAATCAACTCCAAAAATAGTAAAAACTGGAGAAACGTTTCTAAACATGTAGATAAACATGTCAGAGAAAGAATTTTTCAAATATCACTTCTCATTTGCGAAAACTCATCAGTTTTGTAAAACATGCACGAACATGTGCACGAAGAAAAACGTGAATTTGTAAATTCTTTTAAACATAACAAATCAATTCCAAACTTGATGAAACTTTAAGAAATGTTTGCAAATGATATTTTGAACATGTTACAAAAAGAATTTTCCAATTTGCATTTCCCAATTGTGAAATCTCATTATTTTGTAAAAGTGTTCAAAACATGAAAAAAATGATATACATGAAGTTTGATATAACTATATATATACATAGAAACCAAATACGTGTGTGTATATGATATTGAGCTTAAGGTAATTAACACACATAATATAAAATCTAAACTAAAGTTACCCAAGCAATGATCTTGATCTAATGTATAATATATCATGCATATAAACAAGAAAGAATATACTCACAATATTTCTCCCCCTTTGACAACATCAAAAAGGGGACAAAAGAATTAAGAGAGCGAAAGCTCCCCCTATCAATAAGCATAGGTGAGTATAAAAAGAATATATATAGGGATTGCTCCCCCTATCAAAAAGCCATATAGAATATATGCGATGAAGATC